CAGGTGTGAGAAAAAAAAAAGGAAACTGGGGGATGCTGGTCTGTTTTCTTACAAATGAACAACAGGATACTACAAAAAAAAGTAATAATAATCCACTGTAATCTGAGTGGATGCTTTAATATGGTACTGAACTGTACATAAGAAATATGTTCATCTTTACAAAATAGCACATCACTGAACAGATGAACTCTATGATTTATCCACTGTGTCTGTTCTGTCATTTTCTGTAGATCTCTAGTGGCTGTATGTAGATATTAAATAAGTCAGATTATCATCTGAACTCTAAGATTATATGTAATGAAATTGAGTCTAATATCATGAGGACAAGTTACAGTAAAACCCCCCGTCCCAAAAAAAGGCAGCTGGAACTAACTGCACCTGTTTTCACGTCAGAGCCAACAGCGCCCTCTTGTGGATCATGTGGATTCTCTGTTGAGATGGATTTAAAAAATCATGCAACCCTTTAGTTAAGAACCGTTCTGACTGACTTATGTTCTGCTACTGTAAATCAAATGTCTTACTCATCGTCCCAAAGTTTTTCATTTCAGTCAGGGAGTACACAGTGTCTATGGACTTATCTGCAAATAAAATATTCAAGGATTATACATCAGACAGTTGCATATCTTTAGGTTTCTAAGTGATCAATTGGTGACATTCTTATCTACTTTAACATAGGTACTCTACTATTCTGATATCAGCCACAAAGTTGGGGCTACAAGTATTGAGATTCATTAAAAAAATGTAGAAACACATTTCCATCAGGTCAGTGTGGATTTCTTCATAGAATAACAGAAACAGAACAAATTTGAGAACATAAAACGTCCCAACTCTGAATACCAGTGAAGACATGCAACTAACTGTAAGAAGGGATTTATTACTGGTATCTGTAGCTCCTTTTTTCACATTAGCATAAACAGCGCCCTCTTCTGGAATAACAGGATGTTCTGTTGAGATGGAAAAAAAACAGAGGTAGTTACAGTTCAGATCTCTGCTCAGATGCTGTAAATTGAATGTCTTTACATCTTACTCATCATTCCAACGTTTTTCCTTTCAATCTGGGAGTACACAGTGTTTATGGATGTATCTGCAAAACAAATATTCAAGGATTATGTAACAGTTACACAACATTAGGCTTTCTAAGTGACCGATTGGCAGCATTTTTAACTACTTTACTCTGATAATAACAGTCTACTAAACTTATTGACGTCACAAGATTTCAAAGTTGCAAAGTTGG